CCGTTCTGCTACCCAACCCAAGAGATAGAAGACAAATTTAACACCACAGAGCACTGCGGCTTACTCGAGTTGCAGTCGTTGTACAAGACCTTCGCCACCACACCAGAATATGACAAGAGAAACCTAAAGTTTAGGTCGGTGGACGATGATAAGAAGTAATGGGTCAAGTGGTCACTAAGTAGGGTCATGATAACCTCTCACAGCACTGACATCAGACCCGAATTTCTGCTCGCGTTGTGTTTAATCTTGGAAGAAAAGACTGACATCGACATGGGCGCAATAATCTATATAGACATTTGGGTGCGAAGATGGACAGAACGCTGGGTCACGGGACCCTGATTACAGAGCTATGCAGATGCGCAGACGTCGATCTACCCACTCCAGCCCCTGAGATGCAAATAAAGCTGGTTGGAGTCCAAGGGGTTTAGCCTAATCCCCAACGAAAAGAAGAGAAAGGAAAAAGCGACAACTCCTCTCCCCCCGCTGAAAAAGAAGATTAAAGTAGTTGAGGAAGAGATTGTCCGCTTGCCAGAAAAATGAGAGGAAGAGAAGTGGCATCTGAACCAGAAGGGGCCGCTGTTGAACTCAACTCGGAACGAACTATCTCCAAGGAGACTCCCGAGGAAGCTGAGGCCGCTATTCGCTTCACTCGGGAAGTGGAGATGAGTTTATTCGGCGAGGAGTAGGCCCAGAGCAATAAGGGAGGAACAACCCTCGAGAAAACCGCTGGCGAGGAAAGGACCAAGCGCAAAGAAGACCCCGCTTATGAGCCGGCTATTAAAAAACCGAGGTGAAGATGGCCGCAAAGAAGAATAAGAGTCCCCCTCGGAAGCCGAAGAGGAAGGAGAAGGGAAAAAAGGAAGGCGGTGTAGAAGCAGGTCAACCCGGACAAGATTCCTCTCTCTCGCTTAAGAAAATGGATCATGATTAGAGAGCCCACCGACCAGCCCGAGCAACCCTCGCCAGAGGAGCAGCCACGAAGAGCGACGCCACTCCACCAAATCAGCCCAACTAGCGATGAACCTGTCCACTTCAACCAGCAGGGGTTAGATGAGCCAACTGTTGCTGGAGATCTTGGCAATGAGGCCACTCCCGTTAACCAGCCAGAGGGAAAGAAGCCTACTGCTGTTGGATCAGAGAAGAAGCGGGAGAGCGTGATCACCGAAGAAACCATCGGTGATATAGACGTAACCGTGGAGTCATTTAAAGATCAAGCCCCGAGGTCCCCGCTGCCACAACCGCTGAAACTGCTGATGAAACCGACAGCATTGAGGCAGTCATAACATCGCTGCCTATTTTGCAGGTGTCTCCCAAAACAAAAGAGTCAACAACTCTGGGGGCAATGGAACAAGAACCTATGCCATATAGTCCTAAGATGTCAATGGAGACATCCACACCTGTAAAAGCTCCGACTCCTTCCTCAACGAAATCTGACAAAACCATCATCGATAAAGAGGAGGATGGAGAGGAAACAAAATTCAAGGAGCGGTAAGCTCGGTTGCTCGCAGAAATGCAGAAATTGAAACAAGAGCGACAACGTGAGTGGAACAGGAAAGGGAAGTTGAAGGTGCTGGCCAAACTGCTCAAGTGGTGGAAGCTACAGACCCAGCTCCAGCTACGCTTTAGGCAAGATTTCAAAGCAAAGAAAGTTGCAGATCGAGCACATGAGGCAGCGAGGCAGCTAATTTTTCTCAGGAATGTCACCCCGGAGCCGGTGGATATCAGTTTCGCATCCGAGCAATAGTCACCAGCACCCACGGAGGCCAACACATATGCTCCTCTCGCGACATTTGAATCAGTTGAAAAATGACTGGATGACCTCGATGCGGCACTACTGAGCCAGTATGTTCTAACACAATCACTAATCGATAACCATGCTGAGAACGTGGCCAGCCACTTGGCTTTCGAGAGCTCCGTGCTAGCCGCACTAGAGTCACGTGTTGGAAGCCTGGAAGCTCAAGCTACAAACCTGGGTAGGGCCTTGGAGAGCCTCGAAAGAGGACAAAGCGACATATTAAAGGCTCTTGCAATAGCCACCCAGCAGAATGCGATTTTAATGGAGCAACAGCTTGACTCAGCTCGAAGCCAACAACGACTCGAGGAGCTAGTGCGGCAGTTTGTCAAGCATCTTCCTCAGATAGGAAGTGGATCCTTGAATCTCAGGAAGAAATGATTCAGGATCCTTGCCCCCATCTTGTACATAATTTTGCAAAGGATGGCAAGGTATGTACAGAAATTTTTAATGATCAATGACACAAAGAATTTTTGGTAACAAGTCGAAACCTTCAAAACTGTGTGCCTATTTTAATTGCAAGCATGTGTTGTTACTTAAAATTCTTTTAATACATCGCTGCGTTAGACTTATGATATGTTTTAGAGTAGGGTTAGACAACTTGCGAGCATCGAACTTAATAATTTTCATTTACCTTATTCAATAGTATCAATGTTGAGTTAAACCAAGTATCCGATATGACTTGAAAAGGTTAATGCCCCCTTCGTTACAAGTTTCCCATACTCAGTAGGGTAAGCGAACTTTTTTCTATCGACTTTGCTCAAAATAAATGACACTGACAAGGGAAGTTCTTAATGGTATGAGAAGCGAAGCAAGCGAAGTGGGGATGACCTATTATTAAAGGGGTATAAAAGGCTTAGGTGCGTTGAAAATCAAACAAGGTCACGAGCAGACACAATGTTTGTTTGAAATTCTGTGACCCATTGCGAAATGTAATGAGCTATGAAAAAAAAGAAATGATTTTCCGCACCTTCAGTTAAAGTTTCCTTATTCAAAAAAATAGTCCCTGCTGAGTGAATAAAGTTGATTATGCCTAGACGGCTCCACTCATGTTAAATCATATGACAAGTTTTGAATGCTTAAGGATCAATTGCTCCTTTTTTTAGATTCACTCTGCTCACAACAAAGGAGCAATTGATCCTTAAGCATACAACTGTAGACATTAAAAATTAAATGTCTAAATTAAATTAAACATCATATATTTTGGAAGAAAATAAAATTCCAATGATATAAATATATCGTATTTAATTATGCACATATGTTAATTTTTGTACAATAAATATCAACCATTAATGCAAAAATCTGCTTAAAATGGAAGATATCGTACAAATATTACGTGCATAAATAGAGCCATAATAAATTTGGCAGCAAAATAAATTAATCTTGTTAATAAAAGAAGTATATAAATTAATATCTTCCAAACAAGGCAATGATATAAAGATCTTGTCAATAAATGAAGTTTATAAATTAATATCTTCCAAAAAAGGTAATAATTTAAAGATTTTGGCGAGAAAGGAAGGTGCACAATCAAATCCGTCAAGAATGGAAAACGGCATCCGATGGAAAATGAAAGATTATAAAATCTTTCCATCCACGTGGCACCATCCGAAAAGGAAGCCAAGGCCACCCTCCCCTATAAATAGGAGCCTTGGCCAATTCATTAGACACCGAAGTTCATTTGAAGACTCGCGCAAGGGTAACTCTCTCTAGATTCTCTGCAATGTTCTTCATTGTTCTTCGTGTCCTTCGAAGCGTTCTTCGTCGAAAAGTCACTGATTTGGACAAATGATCCAATATTGGTTGACGAATCGATGGAGTTAACGTTCTTCGTCGTATGTCCGAGCCGGAGGAAGGATCAAAGCTCTCAAAGCCATCGAGAAATCCATGAAAGCCAAGGAAGAGCCTCCAAAGTCACTCCCAAAGCTTCAAGATGTTCGTCGCGTTCTTCACAAAAGGCGCAAACCAGGCCCTCTTCGATCCAAAAGTCAAGGGGACACGCTACCAAAAGCGTTATAGAGCATCAAATCCACCTCCTCAAAGACAAAGCAAATGTCAAATTCCGCGGGATCATCCAAATGAGGCATCAATCCAAAGTCGACGATCAAAATCGCCAACACGGATATCAAAACCCTCCAAAAGCCGGCAAAGTCAAACCGAAAACCAAAATCCCTTCAGATTAAAGAAGCCATCCAAATCCAAGTTGGAAAAATGGATCGACCCGGGAAGAGAATCGAACGATCCAAATAGAGAATAGGACCCGCATATATTTAAATTAAATATAATTTGTATAAATTTTGTGTTTATAAGAATATAACACAATTTTTTTGTCTACAACAACCTCATTATATTATATCACACCCGTGCGACGTAGCGCACTGCGGGTACTAGTGTGTGTATATATATATATATAAGATGATGAATGGATGGATGCACCCGGGATAATGAAAAGGAAATCAAGAAAAAAAAATATTTCTTTTTTCGTATAAATTTATGTTCTTTTTTTTTTCATAAAAAAAATATATATATATTCTATTTTTTGTAAAGTAAAAAATGTTATTTTTTTATTACTCCCTCCGTCCCACTTTTCATGTCTACTTTTCTATTTTCGCCTGTTCCATTTATTTTGTCACTTTTTTTTTAGAAAATAATTATACACTTTAATCTTATTTTTAAAAATTTAATTTTTAATTTTAATTATACTAATCAATTATTTTAATCTTAATCTATAATTATTTTTATTATACAATAATTATTTTTACTAATACATTTTTAATTATTTACTAATTATACCCCTCCTAAATTTATGTGTTTACAATAATGCGGTCAAATTATCCGGAACAGAGGGAGTATAAAAGAACTTTTTTTTATTATTTATTTTTTTTAAAATGTGTCTGACCAAATGAATACTCACAGAGAATTTAATTTTGAAGTTTACAAATTGAAATTAGTTTTAATTTACAAAATAATAATTTTGTTGAGGCGAACAAATCCAATTTGGTCTATTATTAGCTAGAGTCGATAATATTTGAATTTAATAGTGTCATTTTCGAGGCGTATTTCGTGTCAGATACGTATTTATCAAGTTATAGTTATTAATTAGCTGCGAACTAATATTCATCGTCACCAATTTGGATGTATTCAATTAATTGAATTGTATTGTATTCCTCTGCCTCCGCTATCTTTTGCTTCCCAGAACCTTCCATGCCACCACCCTTTATTTATATATATATATACATACACACAAACATTTCATACGTACTGCCAAAGCTATTAGTATTAGTATTTATTTATAAGCATAGACATTGTCGTCTTTTCCTTTGCTTTCATTAAGGTCGTCTCTGTTCCGTGTTTCATTTACTTTGATTTAATTTAATTTCTGCCAATCATCATCATGATTTTCCAGCAGGTAGATCAAACCTCGATCCGATCCTTTATTTAATTATATATGATAAAATCAAAAACCCTGAATCTGTGTCTGTGTCTGTCTCAGCTGGGGTAATCGATTCGTTGTCCCATCTGCTCCGATCTGATCTGCTCCAATAATTCCACTGTTAATATTTATATATATATAGAATACAATATTTTTCAGTACGCACGAGGACGATGACGATGACGATGACGATGACGACGACGACGACGACGTTGGTCTTATAGATATATATATAAATAAATCATCATCATCATCATCATCATCGCAGCAACACGGGCGTGTTTGAGAGAGGAGAGAATGGGAGTTTTGGGGCTGTTGGAGGTGTCATCAATGCCGATACTGCAGGTGCTCATAATAAGCGCATTGGGAGCTTTGATGGCTACTGACTATCTGAAGCTGCTACCTCCCCACGCCCGCCATTCATTGAACAAGGTAATTAGATTAATTTTAAATTGATTTAATTTAATTTAATTTAATTTTAGTTATCAACAAATTAATCTTGATATATATATTATTATTATTATTATGAATAAATGGTACTGCAGATAGTGTTTGTTGTGTTCTCTCCGTCGCTTGTGTTTTCAAGTCTGGCCAAGACTGTTACCATTCAAGAAATCATCTCTTGGTCCGTACCTTTATTATTTATTTATTTATTTATTATTATACATGCTTTCTTGCACAGGTTAAGGCTTTTTCTTTCTTCTTTTACTCATGTTTTCCTAGTATTTGTCTTTTGATTTTTGTATCCAACTTATTTTTTAATTATCATATTTTACATTAATATATATTTTTATAGAAAATACTAATAATAATGATAAATAAATAAATAATAAAAAAAAAACAACCTTGCTGTAGACAATTTTATTTTTCTATTGTTTATTTTAAGGAAAATTTTGTTTCCAATAAAAGATATTATATTTAATATTTTTTTAGAGTACTATTAGTTTTTTCCTTTAACATTTTAAACAAAAATAAACATTATTCACCTTGGATAATTTTTAATAAAAATATATTATTTTTCTTGCAAAAGAAAAAAGGTTGAAGATCTACTAATAAACTCTCATAATCCATTGTTCACACATTTTAATTTTAATATTGATTATTTAGTTTGGATTGAAGCTATTAAGAAACCTTTATTATTACTGAATTAGTTATAAAGTTCAATTTTAATTTCATATTCTTAAAATTGGTATGCTTTTATTATTGTAAAATAATTTAATGAAATTTATAGAGTTTATTCACCCAATTTATGTTTGGCTTATTCTCTATACTTATAAAAAAACACATTCATCTAAAAATACAAAGTGAACACATAAACACCAACGATCAGACTTATTATTATTATTATTTTTTAATTTTAATTGGTAATTTGTATTTTTTTTTTTACTTGGGTTTAATATTTGGCTTAGTTTGTAACTTTTATTACTAACTCCGGAAGAAGATAAATATTTATATTTTGGATGTAGATTTTAGAATATTAGTATTATATTGGTCTATAGTAAAAAAGACAAAATAAAAAATATTAGTATCTCGTATCAGATTGTGTGATATAAAAATAATGATATTTGTGTAATATATTGAAAATTGCAAAAGTATTAATTATTATAGGTATGTAGTACAATTATTAAATTAAAAAATAGTATCCTTATTTTTGGACGAACAAAATAAAAAATAGTATCATTCTTACGAAAGCACATGGAATATATAGTTGTTTAAAAAGCTAAAAATTCAAATTAAATTTTCAAATATATAATTAATTATAATTTTGAATATTAACAATCAAATTTACCATCCTATTTAAAATTTATTATAGATATTTGTAACATAAATAATTATTTAGTTTGTAAATAATATGTAGCATATAGTTTAATTATTATATAAAGAAAAAATATATATTCAAAAAAACACATACATATTTGATTATAAATTGAAATGATGGGATTATATAACTTGTTTAGTTGTGATTTAAAAATAATTTAAAATAAAATATTGATTTAAATATCATACTAAATTAAAATAAAAACAATAATTTAAATAGTTAGGCTTGATTGTATAAAGCTACAGCTGGTCATTTTGATGAAAGCATAATAATAAAGGCAGAGCATGTGATGCGTTGAAAGTAGCAGCAGCACCATTCATTATTGGAGTGGTACTGATAGTGATACTCAGTCAAATATTACTCCCTACGTCTATGACATAAAAATTAAAAAAAAAGTATAATTAATAAATAATTAGTAAAAATAATTATAGTACGATAAAAATAATTATAAATTAAAATTAAAATAATTGATTAATATAATTAAAATTAAAAAAATTATAAATTAAATTTTTAAAAATAAGATTAAAGTGTACAATTATTTTTCAAAAAAAGAAAATAACAAAATAAATGAGACGGACAAAAAAAAATAGACATGAAAAGTGAGACGGAGAGAGTAATTTATATGATTTGATAGAATATAAATTCAATTTAAATTTTAAAATATATAAATAATATATGTTTTAATTAATTGCATAAAATAAAATTTTATATAAAATATTTATTTACTATTAATATAAAATTATTTATAGTGATGTAAAATATATGAAAATATATTTATATAACTATATTTTATATAATATTAGAACGTTTAATATATTAAGAAAGAATGAGTTTGACTTAGAAAGAAAGTATCAGTAACTTCCCAAGATACTCCCAAAACAACAACCAAATGCTGTTTAAACATAACCTTTTTATATATAAAAACAAATAATACTACAAAGTAATGTACATATTTAAACTAATAGTCCCTCCGTCTGTGTGCAGTTAGAAAGTATACATATTTTTATTTTGAAATGTAAAATTACAAAGTAAATATTTTATTAATTTTTTTTTCACAAATATCATTATTTTACATCACATTGTTACTTTTACACTACAAAACAAAGATAAAAATATTATTACATTATTTTTAACTGTGAATTATAATTAAAATATTATTATTTTTTAAATAAATATTTACTTTCTTTCTATGTGTGAACGGAGGGTGTAAATAAATTATAGTGCAACCAGATTTCACTTTCAAGGGTATATATATATGGAATGGAATTATCTGACAGTGGGTTGATGGGACAGTATCATTATATATTAGTTAGCTATGGTTTAATTTAATCTAATACTATTAATTTTAAATGAATGTTTCTATTAAATGTGGATATATCTCCATGTGCGTGTGATTGTTTTGTTTTGTTGTTTCCCACTGTTAATGTTATTTATTTATTTGAATATAAAGTGTGTAATTAATATGGTGTTGAGAATTGCATTTGCATTTGAATTTGCATTTGCATTTGCATTTGCATTTGCATATAGGTGGTTCATGCCAGTAAACATTGGAATGACATTTGTGGTTGGAGGGATACTTGGATGGATAGCAGCTAAATTACTTAGACTTGAGCCTTATCTCCAAAACCTCGTCATGGCTATGTCCGCCTCTGGTAATTTATTTATTAGTATTACTCCCTCCGTTCCCATGTAACATGGGTGTATTACTGTAAACACGGGAATTTAGGTAAAGTATAATTAGTAAGTAATTAAAAAGTGTATTAGTAAAAATAATTATAAATTAAGATTAAAATAAATAAATAGTTTAATTAAAATTAAAAAAATTATAAAATTTAAAATTTAAAATGCGATTAAAATACATAATTATATTTCCAAAAATAGAAAAGACAAGTTATGTGAGACGGACGAAAATAGAAAATAGGGACAAATTATGTGGAACGGAGAGAGTATTATTTTGTGTATGTAAGTATTCCCTCCGTCCCACCACAATTGACGCTATTTTCATTTTTGTCTGTCCCGTAACAATTGATAAATTTCTATTTTTTTTGTAAAAATTATTAAATCTAAATATATTTAACAAATATAAATCAACTTAATTAATTAAATAACATATAGTATCATAAATGGCGTAGACCCACTCAAAACTTCTTTGTTTCTATCTCTCTTCTAAAAAAATAAATATTTTTATTTATATTTAAAACTACACATCTTTTATAAAATTGATTTATGTTAATTATAAATAAACAAAAATATTTTTTTATTTATTTGTATTATAAAAAATTTTATTCTCTACGAAATAATATCCATATTATATATATTTTTAATTGCTATATTATTTATAAATATTTAAACATATATTTTAATCTTTTTAATCATATATATTAAATTTACTTTTAAACTATAAATATTATTAATTATATAAAAAAATAATATCATAATCAATTATTATTAACTAATTAAATATTCTTACCTTAAATATCGTGTTATTAATCAAATGATTCTTTGATGGAATGAAAGACATTAGTATGTTATTTGGTTTTAATTTTATATTATATTATATTATAGGAAATCTGGGAAATATTATGCTTATCATAATTCCAGCAATCTGCAAAGAGGATGGCAGCCCATTTGGGGACAAGACTGTATGCAAGACAGTTGGCCTGTCCTATGCTTCCTTCTCCATGGCTGTAAGTACTTGTATCCATCTCTCTCTCCTTCTTTTCTTTCTTTCTTTCACTATGGAGTAAAGTAATTAACTACTGTCCTACGTAATTTGAGTGTGTTAATTAGACATTACAGAGGTAAAATATAATTAGTAAATAATTAAAAAATATATTAGTAAAAATAATTATAAATTAAAATTAAAATAACTAAATAATTTAATGAAAGATTTTAAAAACTATAAAGTATACATTTTAAAATACGATTAAAATATATAATTATATTTCCAAAAAAGAAAATAACAAATTATATAAAACCGACGAAATAAAAAATAAAGACAAATTATGTACAACTGAGTACAGTATTACATTTACACCCCCCTTCACTGTGCAGTGCACAACTAACAATACGTACATGCTAAATTGCATTGACTTTAATTAATACAACAAAAACAAGAAATTATCAGTATTATTTTTCTGGTTTGAAAATTAACTGTATTTTAAAATTTTACACAAAAGTACTTTCCATCAATCAATTAAACAATGTATGACTATAAGTGAGATGGATTGTTCTATATGCATGGAATCCACTTTCAATTGCATGCAATATATTCTTCGTTACTTAAATTTATATAATAAAAACATATATGTTGGGATCCATTCAATTTTGAAATGGCAAGAAAGAATGATATATATATATATATATATTCATGCACGCATGCAGCTTGGAGCATTCTACATATGGACATATACTTACTACTTGATGCGGAGCGCCGGTGAGAGCTACGGCAAGTCATCGTCGGGTCATAGTCATAGCGAGGAGGAGCCACCATTATTAGCCTGCAAGGAGCCCAACAAGGACGATTTAGAGGGTAATGTCAAAACTTATCTCCTCAAAGCTGGTGGAGAACAACATCAACACCAACCAGCTCTGGGATCATCTGCACCATGGAAACAAACAATATTGGGAATTTTGAAGCAATTGTGGAAAGAGCTAAGGGCACCTCCAATCCTTGCTGCTGTATGTTTTAATAATCAATTCTATGTATATAATAATGATATAGATAACAGAAGAGACCAGTACAAGATCAAGAATTAATTAATAATTGGCTGACACATTGCATGTTTCTATATATTATTGTTTAGATTTTGGGATTCATAGTTGGGGCAGTTTCATGGCTTCGAAACCTTATTATAGGCAGCGGAGCCCCTCTCAGAGTGATTGATGATTCCATTACATTGCTTGGGTATGTACCTAATGTAATTAAATCCTTTAAAGTTTTTCAACAGCTATATATATTAAACTTCCATTGTTGGAATTATTTGTGTTTGTGTATACTATGCAGGGATGGAGCGATCCCATCGGTTACATTGATCCTTGGAGGCAACCTAATACAAGGTACGTTTTTAATTTGTTTCTTTTTCTTGGAAAGCTAATTTGCATGGACACTACACAATATAGGGATGAGCAAGAGAAGAGTGAAAGCGTCAACAATAATTGCAGTGATCTGTGTGAGGTATATAATGCTTCCTGCAGCTGGAATTGGCATCGTCAAAGCTGCTTCATATTTAGGGTTTCTTCCTGCTGATCCTCTCTACCATTTTGTTCTCATGATTCAGTTCACTCTCCCACCTGCTATGGCCATCGGTACCCTTCTCTCTCTCTCTCTCTCATTTATTTTTATTTTTATTTTTTGAAAGAGTTATATTAAAAAGAAATAATTATATTCGACAAATGAATGAATCAAACATTTTGTAGGTACCATGGCACAGCTCTTCGATATAGCACAGGAAGAATGCTCAGTGATGTTTCTTTGGACTTACTTGGTTGCAGCCTTTGCCCTCACTGGTTGGTCCACTGTTTTCATGTGGATCTTGTCCTAACAATTTAATTAAACCTTCTCCCATCCCTCACCCCACCTTTTCATTTAAACCCACCCACCCACCCACCAAAATGGAATTACCACCATCACTCCATCCATTCTTAATTACCATGTATCTTATTACTCTTTTTTTCAATTTTAATATTTTTTCAAACCTACTTTACCTGCGTTAGCTTCGACGATTAAAGAAAGTGGAACGTCAAGCTTCGATTATATTAGAAACTGTTTTTTTTTTTTTTTTTCCTCTTTACTTTTCTTCAAGTACGTCATTAAGCAAGATTGAGGTAATAGTTAATGAATAATGAAATTGTAGTTATATTTGCCAATATTGTATGAAGCAGTACTGAGAGAATGATTTGTTTGTTCAGTTTGATTTATAACAACCAAATAATTGTTTATACGTAACTTCTTCCCAAGAATTTCAGTTGTAGGATATTGTCAGAGGTTGCTCTTTTGATTTAATATTCTGGGACAATATATCTTAATGCTTGAGAGACACGACCACGATTTTAATTAATTAAGTGTATGAAAAGATGATCTTTTTCTTGGACTTGACTTGACTTCTTGGTACTCTTTTCTGCCCGACCAACAAACGACGTGCCAGCTGGCCAAGCATCAGTCATAAAGTAATCGATGGATCAAGAAACTTAAAACGAACCATCAGGCTTTGGAATGAATGAATGAATGAATACATACATATATATATATATATGTATGTATTCATTCATTCATACATTCTTCCTCTGGCAAGAAAGGGATTTTAAAAACATAACCTTACTTTGGCAAGCAAGAAATGAATTCCAAACCCCATTCATGAGTTTATACCACAATGGAAGCAAGCCCCCATGAATCTACCTAGCTTAATAGCTTAGATTTTATTCCATTGGGATTTTATTTCACCTGTTGATCGCTGATCGATGTTTCTTGTTTGTGAATCTCTTCTTCTGATCTATATAAGAGCCCCGACTCAAACAGCAGCATACCTTAGCATTGCGTTGCATTGCCTCAAACTGCATGTTCTTGAATTGAAATTCAATTACACAAACACACACACACATATCTATATCTATATCTATATATATATATATAGATATCCTCTTGATCAGGTAGGTAGCTAGGTAGGTTCTCAATCAATGTCTGGGCGGGAGAGGGAGACGGCGCCACTTTCATCCTTAGGCAGAGGTCGGAGTTTTGTGATGGAGCATGATCGCAGCAGCAGCAGGCCAGCAGAGATTATTGCAGAGGGGCTTAAGCGTAGGGGAGGGGGAGGGGGAGGGGGAGGCTTTTTTTCATCGGATGAGAATGCACTCACTAAGCAAATTCTGGGCACTCATGCGCCGGGGATCGATGATCTCAATGTCAAGCCGCTGCTTGCTGTTATTGAGGATATATTGCGCCTTGGAAGCCCCACTTTGTCTACTCATGACAACGACAATAATAATAATGCTCTAACTGTAATTAATTAATTAATTAATACTACATATATATATATATATATATATATCCATGTGATGTGTCATTTCATTCCAATATTGTTCGATATATATCGAATACTTGTTACTTAATTAATTTGTTACTGCACTGCAGGCCGGTGCACGTTCAGACGCCAATCTTGATCATCAACCGGGGGGGAAGAAGAAGGTTGTGTCATTTCACGACGATATCAGCTACACCACTCCTGATCACGACTTAAACATCGTTGCAGTTCTTGCACTTCCCATCAATAGGATTTCTTCCGAGGTACAACCAACTAACTAACTAACTAAATATGTAGGACTAGGAGGATCCGTTTGGCTTCTTCTTACACTTACACAGTACTAGTGTCTTCTTTGCGACGATAGATGATCTGCAAATGCAACGAAGGAGGAGGGGAAGCACATTCCGCAACTATGAACCTCCTCAGATCCCTCTCCAACTACTCATGGGACGTTAAGGTTGGCATAACCTTCGCAGCATTCGCCATCAACTACGGCGAGTTCTGCCTCGTCGACCATTTGCGCATGGAGAATCCGCTCGCCAAGAACATCGCCACACTCAAGGATCTGCCCCATACGATGGACAATGCCGCCGCGGAATTGAAGCACAAGTTGGAGGCAGTTGTCATCCTCTTGAACACTGCACTCAATGTAACTCGATTCATCGTCAAGTTCAAAGAGCTTCCCTCCGCTTACATCACCCACGATTCGCCCGAAATTACAGCTGCAACCGCTCACATTCCGACTGCCGTTTACTGGATCATAAGAAGTCTTATGGCAAGTTTTTCCCTGCTCTTGAACCTCGTCGGCAGCTCCGGTCACGAGTAAGTTTCTTATCCTGCTCAATCTCTGTTTCTGCTTTCCCAAGTATATGTGTTCAGCTTACTATGTTGAATCAGATACATGTCGGCGACTGCCGAGTCATGGGAGATATTAAGCCTAACTCATAAGCTAGAGGTTATATCGGCACACCTGAAAAAGCAGCTGGCAATTTGCTTGGGCTTAGTTGGTGAGTAGTTTTGTTTTAATTTCGACGAGAGAAAATAGTAATGTGTATCGATCTGATCCCTCGCTGTTTTTGTGCAGACAAGAAGAAGTCGGAGGATGCGTACATCGCATTCAAAAGGCTCATCGAAACATCGCATATCGACAACATGAAAGTACTCCGGGCTATGATTCGCACAACTGAAGACCAAATGCCACTCTACGATGGTTCCAAGAGGACAAATGTCGGCTCGAAAATCTCATCTTTTGACTTTCTTTCATTTTTCGATCTATCTATTGAATTCTCCATGTCCGGGGTTACTGCAGGAACGCCTCGAGGCACTAAGGTCCAAGTACATCTTGCTGTTGATCACAGACCTTGATGTTCCTCACGAAGAGATAAATGTCCTGCACATGATTTACAACCAACACGCAATGCGACACGAGTACGAGGTTCTCTGGCTTCCTGTCGTGGATCCAACGACGGCGCCATTGCAAGACAACGTTTTCTACGATCTAAGAAACAACAACATGCCTTGGTACTCGGTGACTCGCCCTTCCTTGGTTGAGCCGGTGGCCATTCGATACTTCAAAGAGGTTTGGAACTTCACCCATATGCCTATGCTCGTCGTCTTAGATCCGCAAGGGAAACCCTCCAACCTCAATGCTTTGCCAATGATGTGGATTTGGGGAGGCCACGCCTTCCCCTTCACGAAAGCCCGCGAGCGCGCCCTATGGGACGACCATACTTGGAACATCGATCTCCTAGCCGACGCCATCGATCCGCGCATTCCCGAATGGGTAAAAACAAACAATCAAACATAGATATAAGATGGTGATTAAAGTTGATCACGAGTGACATAACATTGCATTGCAGACAAGGGGGAACAGAGTGATCTGCCTATACGGCGGCGAGGACATCGACTGGATTCGGAAGTTCACCCTGTCGGCACGAGCAGCAGCCAGCGCGCTGCATGTCCCCCTGGAAATGCTGTACGTCGGCAAACGCAATCCCCGCGACAAAGTGCGGCGATGCCACGAAGTGATCAATCGGGAGAAGCTGAGCCACATCTTCCCCCTGGCGGAGTACTACGACTACGTGTGGTACTTTTGGGTCCGCCTCTGGAGCATGTGGAACTCGAAGAAGCACATCGGAATGAGTGTGGATGACGACCGGATAATGCGGGAGATCATGGACATGCTGACCTTCGATAGCAGCAAGGAAGGGTGGGCAGTGTTCAGCCGGGGGAACTACGAGATGGCGAAGGGGAAGGGCGACGTGGTGCTGCCTGTTTTGGATAATTACACGGCGTGGGGGTACAATGTGGATCATCCCGACAAGTTTGTGGCGGTGGTGGAGGAGGAGATCCGGAGGGCACACCCGGAGCACCACTGCAACCACCTCATCTTGCCGGGACAGACGGGATACATCCCGGAGCGGGTGGCCTGCTCCCAATGCGGCAAGATTATGGAGCACTATGTCATGTACAGCTGCTGCAATGATTGAACCAACATATATAATTTACTTACTTAATTAATACGTACAATAAATATATCTATTTTCTTCTCTTCTGCTATTATTCTTATATATATTGCAGTTAATAAAGTTAGAGTTTGATAAAATGATGTGAGAGATATGTTGAATATGCATGAATGGGAGATATGTAAACAAATAATTAATATATATGATCTTATTTTTCCCTCATTTTATCATAGCAAATATAGATCATTATATAACCATTATTATTATTATTATTATTATTATTATTTTATGACGAGGGTGGCAAGTGACCTGAGGCGTATGGGGATTTGAACCTATGACTAGGGGTGGGCAAAATATCCGAACCGAACCGCAGAACCGTCGAACCGAACTGAATCGAACCGAATTTTCGGTTAACCGAGCAAATTCGGTTCGAATACAAATACTGCATATTTGGTATTTGTTCGGTTCGGTTCGGTTTCGGTTTCTAACCTTTTTTTCGGTTCGGTTAACCGAACCGGATAATTTTATAATAAATTAATTATGTTATATTATATATTTATAATTTATTTATATAAATTATCATTAATAATATACATTACAGCCAGTCCCCCAGTGCAGACCCGGTTTAAACCTAGTGCAAACCGCCAAACCCCATCTCCCAAATCTCAAACGCGATTTCACAACCCTAATTTCTTCGTCTACCTCCTGGACATCGGCGGTACTTCACCTGTTCACCATCTTGCGATTTTTCAGCCAATCAGCGGCGGCTTCATCTTGTTTCTGCGATTTTTTATTCCATCTCTCAGCACGGCTTCACCCCCTCTTCTGCAGTTTGTGTGCAACTATCCAGACAATCGTTTTCAACTCTTCGCGCACAATACAACTACAAAATCTTTCAGGTAACAACTACAAATAGTCGATTCAAGATTATAAAATCTTTTCCATTTTATTTACATTGTGCAGAGTTTTTTATTGTTTTTTAGTAGACCGTTTTTTTTGTTCAAAATTTTTTTCCAAAATATAAATATAATTGTGCAGGTTTTATTATTATTTTTTTTAACAATTAAAATGCTAACTTATTTATTTTGAATCCAAAATTGGTAATGAGTGTTAATTGAAGCTTATCTATTATTTATATTTTTTTCCGTTATTTCTCACTAAATAAATTTATTTTTATTTATGCAGGTTTTATTTCTGTACAGTAAAAAAAATAAATATTATTACTCTTGAAAATTCACTTTTAATTTTAATTTACAGGTTGCTTCAATTACAAATTACTTTTGTTACTAATTCCAGAAAATTTAGATTATTGAGCTTTCAACATCTTGTGATAAATAAATATATTATTTATACTTGTAGCTTATTTCTTAGTTTTATTGATTTTTTTTTAAAAAAATATTATATTATTATCATTTTTTTTTTCAGGAATTCATGTGTTTGAAAAAAGCTTGAATCTCTACTCAGTGCAGTTTTTTTTAGTAAATAAATTTTATTATACTATAATTGCAGTGCATTATTATTGATTTTTTCTAAAAAGAATTATTTTATTATCTTATTTTTCAGGAATTCGACGGTGAAAAGATGCAAACGCAGATTTATTTTCGTGAATATTGTAATTTGACTTTTAAATATACTTTATGTTTCATGTTAATTTGTTTTTAATTGAACTGATATTGTGTTGTTGTTTATGAGTGTTTCAATTCCAAAAGTAGATTTATTTGTCAATATTTGTTTGAATTCGGTTCGGTTCGGATATTTGCAAATAGTACAAATATTTTCGGTTAACCGAAGATTCGGTTAACCGAAATTTTCAGTTCAGTTTCGGTTCGCGGTTTCGAATATTTGTTCGGTTCGGTTCGGATATCAAATACCTGCATATTTGCAAATATCCGAATCGTGCCCACCCCTACCTATGACTTCACAGTTACACATTCAACCTTCACACCAGGCCATCACTTACGGGACTATATAATAATACTTATTTAACTCACCTACCACTATCTTCGTCATTTAATTTGACCACACCTCAAAATTAGTGACATGAAGTTAAATTATTTAATTCTATCGACCAATATTTTTTATCTGAGTTTATTATTTTCACTCTCTTAAATTTAAACTTTCAACAATTCCCAATTTAGATATTTGTCTTCCAAAATCTTCTAACTTTAAGGTTGTATTGTAGGTACTAATGGCTTGATTGTGCAACTTGATGAAGTTGAGCTCTATTTGTTCATTTTCTTACAAATTTAATCTTGTTTCTAAGTGTTTACTTATACGGTGAAAAATTGAATTTTTACATTAAAGCAATTATTAAATAAATATACCAATAGATTAATCCGATGATACATATAATATATCACAATATTTTTTCAACCACGTAGCATGACGGTCAACATGACCTTTTTGTCTCACATAAAGAAAATCTTCACGAGGACTTCAAACAATTTTTCTTTTTTTTTTTTTTTCCTTAAAGTACTCAGAATTTGACTATATTATGAACGTGGGTTTGCTTCAGTTCATATAAGGGTTTTCTATTCTGAAACACGTTATATCCTTGTCTTTTTTACATATAAACTAATGGTTTATGCAAATTTACCATAAGAATTATATTCTTGAATAAAATTTCATCTATCCAAATATTTAATTTATGAAAATTAAAAAAACATGTTAAAATCTATGTCCACAAAAAGTTGTTGATGACACATTAATTCGTTTGAAGATTTTTTCTCACCACCAAATCTTATCTCTAAGCATTTGTCTTTTGTCTTCAAAATAGCATCCAAGTCCTTTAAAGTAGTTGGAGAGACATATTTTTCTAATTTCAATGCCGTAAAGTTAGTGTCCAGACAATTCTTAAATTTATTGTCCTGTAACACCCCAAAAATTCTATGGGAATATCACAGGCCGACATTGAAACAACAACACATATGGACGTGTTGTATCTCGATGCCAAGGCTAAAGCATACTAAAAATAAGTACAAACATTTTTTTTTTGCAGAAGTCGTAAAATAATTTTAGCAACTCCCACAATTACTTTAAAAAATACAATTGTAGAAGGTCATGCATGTTTAATAATAGTTCATTCCTATGATGCATCAAGTCGATGAAAGTCTAGATTTCAACTGTACATGTAAGAAAGTAGTAACATCAGCAATAGTTGAGTAAGGAATTAAATATACAATGCATGAAATCAATTACCAACGATAAGTGCTAGCCAAGCAACAACTACAACTATCCAAAATTCACTGCTCACTCAATTGATCAACCAACTTGCCAAGTAACCGCTAAATCCAGCCAAATCAACGGCTCACACAATTATTAATTAATTTCCCAAAATGACTAAATCTAGCTAAATCCATGGTTATCCACGACTTACACAATTTACCAATTGACTTGCCAATCAACGGCTAAGTCTAGCCAAATCCACGACTTATACAATTTATAAATCGACTTGCCAATTAATGACTAAGTCTAGCCAAATCCATGACTTATACAACTTATAATTGACTAGTCAATTAACAACTAAGTCTAGCCAAATCCACGGCTTATACAATCTATCAATCAACTTGCCAATCAAAGACTAAGTCTAGCCAAATCAACGACATACAATTTACAATTGACTTTCCAATCAATGGCTAAGTCTAGCAAAACTCACGGTAGACAATTTAGCTATCGACTTGCTAATCAACGGCTAAGTCTAGCCAAATACATCGCTTATACAATTTACCAATCGACTTGTCAATCAAAGGCTAAGTCTAGCCAAATCCACGACTTATACAATTGATAATTGACTTGTCAATCAACAACTAAATCTAGCCAAATCCACGACTTATACAATTTATCAATCGACTTACCAATCAACGGCTAAGTCTAGCCAAATCCATGGCATACACAAATTAATAATTGACTTACCAATCAACAACTAAGTCTAGCCAAATCCACGACATACACAAATTAATAATCGACTTTTCAATCAACGACTAAGTCTAGAAAAATCCACGGCTTACAAAACTTTATCAATTCTTAATAGCAAGTTCACCACATATCACATAAGGAGATATAATTATAATGGCCTATTTAACTAAGAAACGTAGTTAAATGGTTAGTTCATTTCAAATGTTAATAATTTAATCCCTTACCTTAGTTAGAGGAAGCTAACCAACTCAACAACCACCGACTCATGAGACTTGGTTTGGTCAGACTTCACCTAATCATCAAATTCGAGAAATCAACTTACTCAAATTTAGCATAGATCTTATAAAATTCACCATAAATTCACTGTTGGCTCAAACCTGAAACTAGTGCCAAATCAAAGCAAAAGTTTCTAAATTATATTTCAAAGACCAAAAATGCAATTATTAATTTGAATTACATTTATAATATCATCTTAACTCAAATACTCAATTCACTTCAGAAAAACAGAACGCTTGTACGGTAAAAATCACTAAAAATCTATTTCATACCCAAATGAAACAAACATGGTCTCTAATGAAATCTGACACACACACACACATATATATATATATATATGACCAATTAAACAAAAATACAAAATGAAGTTTCAGAAAGAATATAATAGAAGTTAGCCATATTGAACAGATACTTCGTAATGAAATAGGATATGTAACTTTAAAAATTTATATAAAATTCATTTGATATCCAAATTGAACAAACTTGGTATCTAATTAAAGGTAACATAAATATCTACATTTTTCATGAAACAAAAGTGTGAAAACAGCATCCAAAAGTTACAGAAAATCCATCGAGCACTCTGTAATATTTTTCCATCAAAAAAATAAGTGTATAACTTTAGAAAATCATATAAAATTCATTTGTCTTTCAAATAACTCATATAATATTTCAAAATGAAGATTAAATCAGGAAGAATATGGATATGGTTTTAAAACAGTAAGCCCATGCTTTAAATAAACAAAATCACTTAAAATATTGCACACATATTAAGAAATCGAATTTCAATAGTAAAGAAGAACAATGTATGAAACTTACTTATTATATGACTAGGGTTTCCCTGGGAGTATTTGAGAATGAAATAAAGGTTAAATATAAGGGATAAATTAATATTTTATGTTTAAAAGTTGAGTTAAAAACGCATTGACATTTTTTTAAAACGTATTTGAACATACAAAAGACCTTTGAATACTTTTTTGGCTATAACTATTTAATTTAGACTCGGATTGACTCACTGTTTGCGGTG